AATTATTGAATGATAATCAAATGAAAGAACGTTTAGCTCGAATTTCTAAACGAATGCAATCATCAAATAGTACTGAACAGGTTGCCATTGCAATCGAAAAAGTTGTCCAAAACAAAGATCAAGCTTAATTTGATTTTTTGATCTACCAAACTAAATAAAATTATCACATTATGTTTTTTCACCTTTTGATGTGTGTCTGCGTGTGATAGACAAATTTGTTTGCTGATCCTTATCCAATTTCTAGAAAAAAAATAATCATCATCATCCATCAGCTAAATCAAGCAAAAATTTTTATTTGATAAACAGAAAAGAAAATACAACTCAATTGATAATCAATGTTATAAAAGAAAATTAGATAATAAAAGAATAAAAAGCTAAAAAAACATTGAATCCTTTAATATTTCAGGTGGTAAGATTCTTAAATTAATTATTGAATGATAATCAAATGAAAGAACGTTTAGCTCGAATTTCTAAACGAATGCAATTATCGAATAGTACGGAAATGGTTGCCATTACAATCGAACAATTGCATTACCAAAAACAAAACTAAAATCCAATCTTAATTCGATTTTTTTGTTTTTCTAAATTTCCATTTTTAAAACTAAATTAAATTANATAAAAAAAAAAAAAGCTAAAAAAACATTGAATCCTTTAATATTTCAGGGGGTAAGATTCTTAAATTAAAAAAAAAAAAAAAAAAAAAATCCTTTAATATTTGACTTTCAAAAATTTTCAATAATCAAAAAAAAAAAAAAATCATGTCTTCGAAACAATTGACTGTTTTATTTGTTGCTTTAGATGGTTATGGTCATTTAAATTCTTGTATTGGTATTGCACAAAAACTTGTACAACGTGGACATCGTACGATTTTTGCTTTAGAACAAGCATGGCATGGTGAAGCTAAACGATTTGCCACCGGTATCGAAGAAATGTATTATGTTGATCCAAATCGTAATCCAAAATTTGGTCCAAATGAACATTGGATCAATTTTATGGATGGTATGAAATCAACGTTTGGTTTACCTCCAATGGAAGCATTGGAACAGATCGATCCCGAATTGTACAAACAATTTTTCGATGCAATGTTGAATGTTGATGATGGAATTAAAAAAATAATTGATCAATCAAAACCAGATGTTATTGTAGTTGATAGCTATACAACTATACCGGCTGTTTATAAATCTGGTATTCCATGGGTATGGTCAACAAGTGCTCAACCATTATCATGTTTATCACATGATGATTTACCACCGAATGGAACAGGTTGGATTCAATTGAATTGAATTTTTAATAATAATTGAATACATTTGATTGTTTGATTGAATAGATTTTCCAACCAAAGGTGATCCTAAACAACGAGAAGAATTTAGAAAAGCATTCATTGATAAATTGATGGGAGTATTGGTTCATTTTAATAAACGAATAACAGAAGAATTTGGAATGAAACCATCAGTGCATGGTGTTCATCATCAATCACCATATCTAAATATCTATGCATATCCAAAAGAAATGGATTATCTTGATAT